ACTTCCTGGGGCAGGAATCAAACTCACTCTAAAGTGGCTGCCACTAACTTGCAGTGCTGTATCCTAACCCTTTGTGCCACCGAGGGGGTGGGAGGCAGGGGTGAGGAGGAGATAGTTTTTGAAAACTGTTTTATTAACACCTATCAAGTATTATACAGCATGGTTAGTTATGGTATCCATACAATGCCCAAGTCTTACTCATTTTATAGCTGGATGCTTATATCCTTTGACCAACAACTTCCCATTATAAACCAGCCCCTGGCAACCAACATCATAGTCTCTGTTGCTTTGAGTTCCATCTTTTGGGGTTCTTTAGACAAGTAAAATCATTCACTACTTGTCTTTCTTTGTCTGACTTATTTCACTTAGCATAGTGCCTTCAAAACTCATACATACTATAAATTATGTCTATCTGAAGATGTTAAGCTAAGGGGCATTTTTATTCCTCTCTCCATCTTATTTATCATTGTTTTCTAGATTTTTTACAATGACTCTTATAGTGCTCCATTATATTGGTGACTCTCAATGACTCTGTCTGTCCTCCTGATATTTACAGCCTGTACCGTCCCTTCCCAAGAATCTGGGGACTGGCCCTGTGATTCACATACCAACAGGATTCAGGATGAGTAATACTCTACAGTCCTGACCTTTGGCTTCAGAAAGTTGCTCAGCTTTTGTGTTCTTAGGAGCCACCATGTGAGAATTGTGCTGGAGACACCATGGGCAGAGACCACATGGAAATATCAATGACATAGTCTCTATTTTTAAAAGCACACACATACACATATACGTTCATACATGTCTACACACATGTGACTTGGGGAATGCATCTGAGTGAGGCAGGTGTGCCTGTGAGGATGTCAGCATAGTGCAGCATTGAGCTCCAAATCAGAACCTCACTCTAATGAGTATCTGACACATTCGGCTTCTGGTCACTATGATGGCCATCTGGTCAATCATTAAGAACAGAGAGCTGTGCTTCGATAAACTGTACACTGCTGGGAACCCAGAACAAAACTCATCCTAATCTGATTTCTGAACATTTTGTAGTCATTCATGCCTAAGGACTGTCTCCAGCCTGGAGGCAGAGTTACCATCTCTGGAACCCAGAGTCACCAATCATTCTCTGGGCCATCAATTATCAGTTTGAATATTGAGCACCTCACCCTGGAAATTATGTGGCAAAAACAAAGTCATATGATCTTTCTGCAGAGAAACAGCTGCTTCATTCACTTTTTTTTTTTATCAGAGATAACCAGACAAAAGAGTTTTATAGTTTTATATCCCCTGAAAGCATTTCCCCCGTTGGGTCTTCCTCAGTGTATAAAGAGTCTCTACCTACGAGATTGTGTGTCATCTCCCATTTTGTAGGGGGAACAGACCAGCTTTAATCACTTTGTTATACAGAAATGATAGTGCAGTACATTGGTGCCCTTTGTCTGACAAGTGCCGACTGTCCCAACTACTGTGACCGGCCGCAAGAAAGGAAAGCGGAAGGCAAAAAGGCTGAGCAAGCAGAGTTTATTGCTCCCGACAACAGCTGAGACAGAGCCCCTAGAGTGGGGTCCGCAGCTACTGCCAGCCCCATGGGGGGAGGGTCTCTAATATAGATTCTAAGTTCACATTCCAAAGGGGTGACTCATGGCTGTATCCCTTGATGTGAGGCCCAGTTCGTTATCACCTTCTTCTAGTCCCATCCGGGATGCAAGGCCCAGTTAATTGGATGCAAGGCCCAATTTATTACTGCCTTATCACCCTTGGATGCAAGGCCTAATTTCTTACTGCCCAGTCCTTCAGTAAATCTCCGCACTTGGTCACTCTCAACACTGACTAAGTGCAGGAGGTTTGGTGTGATGCCATTTAAACTTCATAATAACTGCAAGATCATACATAATGCCCATTTCATAAAGGAGGTGCTAAAGATTAGACACCATAAATATTTGTCTTATGTAAACTCTGCCTAGTTACAGATCTCAGATTCAAACCAAGGAAAGCCTGGCTCCCAAGATCATTGTTTTCCATTCTGTTTTGCTCCCCATGGGCATTTAGCAATAATGAAATCCAATTAGAACTGCCACTTGCTGCCTCTCATCACAGTGCCCTTTCCAATAACCCTCAGCGGCTGTTCTTGCAAGTGCTCAACACCAATTCTTGATTACAAAACTAGATGTTAAAATTAATCCTGACGGTGCTGTTTCCTTATAGAGTCTTTTAAAGAATCTGGATCACATCCGTGGCTTTCTCATCTCCAGGACAGGACTCTCTTCCTCTAGGAAACAGGACAAGGGTGGAATAAAACTCCATTGGGGTTAGAAAACATCTTGAAGATATCCAGGGCAACTTTCCGCCTGTAATTCCCTTTCATGGGTCAGTTACATACAGAACAATCTGTCTTTCTTCGATAATCACATAAAGCTTCTTTGAAACAGATATTTATTTATTTTCATAAGTAGATAGAAACATCACTGAAATCCATCTCCATTCTTTCAACTCTCATGCCAGGTGTGTGACGAGACCCTCACTCCACTGTGATGAGCAGAGGCTCCAGGGATTTGGGGCTCACTGTGAATCAGCCACACAGACGCTGGTAGCTGATTCTCCAGGCTTTAGATTTGTAAGGAGCAGGGAGCTGGATGTCTTGTCTTTGTTCAGATGTAGTGAATCTATTTTACTTGCTTTCTTCACTTGAAAGTAAGGAAATCAGAAACTCTAGGACATTTTCTGTACTGTGTAAAATATCAGAAACAATGTTTTTTCTAAGTGCAGCTGAAAGAACTAGCTATGTCCTGAACATCCAGCGACCTGGGATTTTTGTCCCCTTCAGCAGGCTCTTTCTCCCTCTTTAGAATAATTGATACCAAGTAAAGAAGATGAATTTATGACCTCTATTGCTCTACAATTATTTCTTTTTGTGTAACACCAATCCTCCATCTAGCCCTCAACTGAGCTAGATGAAAAAAAAAATTTTAAGATTTAATATGGCACACAGAACTGGGGTACAAGCCAAAGGTGCAGGGGTGGTGAGAGAATTCACCAGAGACAAAGTGGGGAGCAAAACAGGCAGATCGAGGAAGTACACTGCTGAGCGGAGCAGCGGGCGGGTCAGGAGAGGTCTGCCTCGCCATGTGGTCACCTCTGGGGCTGGGATCGAACTCGCACCGAAGCAGCTGCAGCTTGCTTGCAGAGCTGCCTCCTTACCCATTGCACAACCAGGGAGAGTCCACTAGATGAAAATTCTGTCCCATTTCAGGACCCAGCCCTCTCCATCTCAATAGAAAATATCACCAAATAAATATTGCTTTCCTTGCCCCATAACCCCCCCAAAAAAAGATTTAAAATGTTACCCTCAAAAGGCACAAAATTATGTAAAAAATAAACTATTATATTCTTTTTAAAACTGTTAAAAATAATAAAATATGTTGCCCTCAAAGTCCTGATGAAGTCACAGGAGAACTGGCAAGAAACCCAAGAGTTTTGTTATGATTCCTGTCTCCTTTGGAGACCCAGAAAATCCAACTAGGAAAAGTGATAATCACCCATAGTCTCTATGGTTCTGCTTCAGATATTGCAAAATTGGTCTATAAATCAACCAGAAAAAAATTCCTTCCCCCAGCTCCTTTAACACCTTCTCCATTCTCCTCTCATACCATCCATAGCAGGGGAAAGGGACCAAAGACCAGAGTTAGAGGAGCTACAGAATGAGTGACCTAAAATCAGAAGACGTGGAAAACATCCTCAGGCTGCTTAAAAATCATCAATGAAATGCTTAAACTTGTGGGCCCTCCTTGGTGGCACAATGGGTTAAAGCACAGCACTAGGAAGCTAGCTGCAACCACTGCAGCACAAGCTAAATCCCTTACCCCGGAGGTGACCCACATGGCGAGGCAGACCTCTCCTGACCCGCCTGCTGCTCCCCTCAGCAGTGTACTTCATCGATCTGCCTGTTCTGCTCCCCACTCTGTCTCTGGTGAATCCTCTCATCGCCCCTGCTCCTCTGGTCTATATCCCAGTTCTGTATGCTTAAATAAATAAATCTTTTTTAAAAATAAATCTTTTTAAAAAAGATTGTATTATGATTAATAATCTCACACTTAGGCTAAACTTTTCAAAACCTGAGAAGCATATTATCCATACTGACTGGAGGGCAGGGTGTGCATAAATTTGTACAGTGTGTGTGTTTGTGTACACAGAAATGAAGAAGAGCTAAGCAGCAATAGTATAAACACCATAGATTGTCTCATTTTGAATAATCAGGTAGTTCATGGGCTTTGAAAAGAAGATGCCGAACTATGTGTTTTTTTTTTTAGTACTCTTTTAATGTTAGACCATGTAAGTAGAATACTTACTTAAAAGTAAGATCAAAACTTTTTTAAAGATTTATTTATTTATGCATACAGAATTGGGTACAGGTCAGAGGCTCAAGGGTGGTGAGAGGCTTTACTAGAAACCTAGTGGGGAGGCCCTCCCTGGTAGCGTAGCAGTTTAAAGCACAGCACTGAGAAGCTAAAGCCACTTCCGCATGAGTTCGATTCCCGCCTGCCCTGGAGGTGACCACATGGCGTGGCAGACCTCTCCTGACCTGCCCGCTGCTCCCCTCAGCAGTGTACTTCGTCGATCTGCCTGTTCTGCTCCCCACTCTGTCTGATGAATCCTCTCCCTACCTCTGTGTTGCACCCCAGTTCTAGCATGCATGAATAAATAAATATTCTTAAAAAAAAGAAAAGAAAAGAAACCGAGTGGGCCGAGTGGGGAGCAGAACAGGCAGATCGACGAAGCACACTGCTGAGGGGCGCAGCAGGCGGGTCAGGAGAGGTCTGCCGCGCCATGTGGTCACCTCCGGGCTAGGGATCAAACTTGTGCTGAAGTGGTTTTAGCTTCTTTGTGTACTATGCTTTAACCCACTACGCCACCAGGGAGGGCTGATCAAAATATTTTAAAATCATAACAGGATACGGAAGTTTGCTGATCCCTCGTGAAAATAAAAGAATAAAATAAGCACTTCAGAAAGCACTCTTGGGCTCCCTCTGGGCTGTGCCCCAGCTCTGGGGGATCCCGCACAGGTGCAGCCGTGTCTGTGTCACTGTGTCACGCACGATGCAGTAGTACACACCCGAGTCGCTCAGGGTGGTCGGAGGCAGGCTCAGGGTGCTGGACTTCCTGTCCTGAGTGACAAACAGAGATGCCGCTTCCTGTACCTCGTTGTTCTTATATGTTTGCAAAATAAATTTTGGCTCCTGATTGCGGAGCTGCCGGTACCAGTAGATATACTCATTTGTAGAAATCTCAGTGTGATTACAAGTGATGTTCACTTTTTGTCCTTCATAGGAGTCAATAAAGATGGGCTGGGTGGTCTTAGCAAGGCTCAGAGTTCCTGTGGGAATAAAAATACAATACTCACTCTTCTCCTGAAGCCAAGGAAAATTGAAGGTCCAGTTCATCACTCTTCGAGTTTCCTCTCACAACCAGTCCACCCACAACCTACTCCCTCACCATCTACACATCTGCATTTTACTTCTCATGTCTGCTTCAGGACAAAGAAAAATTCTACTTATTCTAGGGAATCCTAGGAATTGATGTACAGAAGTAACAGGGCCAATTTCTCCCTTCCACAGATGGGCCTCAGTAACCCAGAAGATCTCTATTGCCAGAGATACCCCTCACACAAATGCCTAGGAACGACCTAGAGAAAAACAGAACTCCAGAGCCACCCCTGACATCTTGGATAAGAAGCTGTGCTAGAAAGCAAGATTAAAGGTGCCCATCCAGGTGCGGATCCCAGTTCCTCTTCATCCCAAAATATCTCACCCAACGTCAGAAGCAAGGACAGTCTTGTCACCAGACTCATATTCGAGGCGCAAACCAGAACCCAGCTCTCAACCCTGGTGCTGACTCAGCCTGGACTGGAATAGGAACCAGGGAAAAACAAGACCTGCAGGGGCCCACACCAGCAGCCTTCCCGCCCCTTCCCTCCCAGCTGCACCCAGAGACAGCCAATAGCAGGGCTCAAGCTCCTCAGAAAGAGCTTCCTCTGCAAGGTAACTGAACATTCAGGAAGGAAACTGGGGGGTCAAAATGTCCAGTGTGAATGCTTTAGAGCTTCACTAAGGTCTGGTCCCTGATACCTGTGGCATGAATAAGGCGGATACATGGGAGGGTAAATAGCATCACACTTCTATTCACCAGCACTTTCTCACAGTTCCATGAGGTGGTCACCTATTGCCATCAGTCTGACAGAGTTCTGAAAACAACCCTCCATGAGTCCCTGGGTAGCCAGAAGATCTCGGGCGTCCCAATCTTACTCCACAAAACAGCCGGAGAGTCAGCATGAAATGGACCTTTCATCCCTGACATCTGGGGTCCTTTCACCATTTCACTAAGTGCACGTCTAACATCTGCTTCTTAGATCTCACTTAATAGACTTTAAACAGGAGCGCAGACCTGTTGTACCTACTGACCACCTGGCTGAAGACATTTGATGTGCAATGATTCATTCCACCAGGGAGGAGAGAGGCGAGAAGGCACAGACTCAGAGCCAGGCAGACCTAGAACCCAATCCTAGCTCTGCCACCTTGTGTCCTAGGGCAGCCCTTGCCTCTGAGTCTCAGTTTTTTCATCTATAAAGTAGGGACAATAATACTTCCTTCAGAGTCAGCATGGCATATAACCAACAGTAAATTGTAGTTCCTTCCCATTCCTTTCCTCTCATCTGAGTTAATTGCTAAGTACGTTGGCCAGCAAAAGCAGCTGTGTGAGAATATATACGTGATTTTAAAAGGGGAAAAAAAAACACCATTTACTTGCTCTTTATAAGAAACTTCCAATATAAACTCAATAGCAGTGACACAAAAAAAGTTCTGAAAAGCAGTCTTTCCGGAAAAGAACCAAATCCAAAGACACTGGGATGTTAATTGAGCCAATCAATTGCAATTAAAACAAGTTAGTCACATTAAGGTGGCAAAGATAGTAGTGTTGTTGGAGATTTTTGTTCATAGAATATGGAACAAAACATCTCTAGGGAATATCTGGGAGGTATCTCTTCTAGGTCCTAAATGGCCAATGTATTCTGAATGAGCAATTTTTCCACTTTTCCAAACAAAACATCTGTAAGTTCTGATGACTTCCAGTAACATATTGGGACACCTTTTACAAAACTAAAGCATAAAAGGATTCCAGTTTCAACTTGTTGCAACAGCGACCTCTTGTGGTAATTATACTTGGACTGAAGAAATGTCTCAAAAGTCTCCGTTCATGCAACTTAACAGAACATGTATCTTTGTTAAATGCATTAGCACCTCTGGTCTGTGTCCCAGTTCTTGTGTGTTTAACTAAATAAACCTTGAAAATAAAAATATAAAGGGTACTAATCCCATTCATGAAGGCTCCCCCCTAATGATCTAGTCACTTCCTCTAAGATCCACCCCCTTAATATCACACTAGGAATTAGGTTTCAACATATAAATGGAAGGACACACACATGCAGTCTATAGCAGTGACCAACTCATTATCTGATTGTTAGCCACTCTGTTGTTTTTTGGGGTTTTTTTGTTTGTTTGTTTGTTTGTTTTAAGATTTATTTATTCATACAGAACTGGGTACAGGTCAGAGATGCGGAGGGTGAGAGGTTTCACCAGAGACAGAGTGGGGAGCAGAACAGGCTGATGGACGAAGTACACTGCTGAGGGGAGCAGCGGGCGGGTCAGGAGAGGTCTGCCACGCCATGTGGTCACCTCCGGAGCAGGCGGGAATCGAACTCATGCGGAAGTAGTTTAGGCTTCTTTGTGCTGTGCTTTAACCCGCTGCGCCACCAGGGAGGGCCTCTGTTGGTTTTTTTTTAAAGATTTATGTTTGTTTTTTTTTTAAAGATCTTTGGCCTGGCATTCAGGCCAAAGACTCAGGGGGTGAGAGGATTCACCAGAGACAGAGTGGGAAGCAGAACAGGCAGGTAGACTGAAACACACTGCTGACGGGAGTAGCCAGCAGACAGGAAAGTCATCATGTGGGTCACGCCCCTGGTCAGGGATCCAACTCGTGCTGCAGTGGCCACGGACAGCCCCCTAGTGCTAAGCTTTAACCTATTGCACCACCAGGGAGGGCCCACTAAGCCACTCTTAACACCCACTTTTTTTTTCCAGTTTAAAACACATTCTCACATATACAACAGTTTTTACTATAATTATTCTAATTACCTCCATTGTATTAATTAGGAAACACTTCACACAGAGAAGTCAGAAAAGAAGGCCTGCACTTCCTAACTCTTCATTAAGTCCTCTTTCCACAGAGTTCTTGAAGTAAGATTTAAAAGGTTGATTTAAAAAAAGAATATTATCAAAAGAAATACTATTAGATTTCTAGTTTCACCAAAAAGTTACCCAATTATAAGGAATAGTTTTTCTAAGAAGCATAGGAAAAAAGAATACTGGGCTCACTTTCCTCCTCAAAGTAAACCAGATCAATTACTGGACCAAATATCAAAACAGAACTTCTAAGAAAACACAGGCTGGGAGGCCAGCCATCTCAAAAAGTTGGAAGAATAGTGATTCCCATTTCAATCCATGACTTCCTGTCACCACCACATGTTGAAAGTGGCTGAGGGCTAATCTGACTTCAAAGAATCTTCTGAGCATATTAACAACATTTCTCTCTCTCTCTCTCTCTCTCTCTCTCTCTCTCTCTCCTTCACAGCTATAATACTCTACTTTGTCATCTCACATAGCATCTTGTACAATCCTTTATCTTAGCACTTACTTTTTAGAATCATTAATTTACTGTTCATTGCTCTAACCAGCCCTGTTTTCTGTGACAAGGACCATTTTGTCTACCCCAGGGCTGAAATCTCAGCCCCTCAGCTCCAAGAACAGCAGACTGCTCAAAGTGGAGGATGAGACCCACACCCCCAACCCCCAAACACCCACCCCCCCACCTGAGAGAAAGAGAGAGAGAGACTGCCTGCATCTCAATTTGCAATTTAATAGTTCTGTGACTTGAGTGAGCCGCTTAAACTCTCAATTCTTAGTTCTTCATCTGTAAAATGAAGTTGCTGATAATAGTTAGGAACTCAATGGATTCGTGAGCATTTGGGACGCTGGCACATAGATATAAAGGATAGTTTGGTGTTGTTGTTTTTCACCTTGTTGTGACCAGGACTTTGTACAGTATCTGGCACATAAGGATTCAACAGACATTTGTCTAATTTAGCTGTAATGAGTGACACATCCTGGAACCAAAGCACCCCCTTGTTGAGGGGCTTAAAATCTTCAGGGAAATGGTTTTTACTGTCCCGGGTTTGTGTGCTGCTCCCCCTGCAGTCCGTCCCACTGTGTCTGTCCAGCACAGAAGTACACGCCAGAGTCTCTCTCAGTGACAGAATGTTTCCTCAGGTAGAAAGAGGTCTGGTTCTTGTTAAATTCAGCCTCCAAGCCATTGCTGCCTTTAACCAGACTGTCCCCTCCGATGTATTTCAGAAGGAATTGGGGACCTTGGCTGGGATACTGGACATACCAAAATAGATAGGGAAACCCAGAAATTGAGTAGGTGCATTTCACAGTCATAGCGTCCCCTTCGGTCACAGGCACCAGATCATCTGGCTGAGTCATAGATTGAGCTCTCAGTCCACCTGTAAATTAATCCACAATGTGTCAGTGAAGCTACTGAAAAAAATGTAAGTGGATAGTACAATGGAAAATGGGAGGAATATTACTCACTCAGAGTGAAGAGAATCCCGAGTGTGGAGATGCATGCAGAAGCCATGGCTTTGGTTGTGCGGCTGGGAAGCGCTTTTGCATTCCCCTACACCTGCTGGTGACTGGCCTCACCGGGAGGCTGCGGTCTCAAAGCTGGGCCACCCCTGTGCCAGCAGTGTTTTTGGAAATGGCCCTTCTTCACACAGCAGGTGTTTTCTGGCACCTGTATCCTCTCTCTGCTAAGCAAGCTCTTGGTCCAGGCTCCCCAAAGCTCTCTGTCAGGAGTAAGACTGTTTCTCCTTTTTGTACCCGACAAACACCAGCGCCCCCTAGTGCCCACCCGCTGCACTGCGACTTTGCTGTGAAGGTGCTTCTGGGACTCATCACAGAGCCAGACCTGGGGTGCTTACATTTCCACGAGGAAGATGGTGGCATGATCATAATCCTACAAGCATGTAAATATGCATATGTTGGAAGTAATATATTTGAGAGGAATACATAATCAAAAATCTTGGGGGTCTTGGTACCAAGAGAGAAGGAAAGACCCCTCAGCACAGACAGTGTGGGGTTTGAGCCAGACTCAGAATATAGTAAAGAGCCTCTTTACTGTCACACTACCCCCATAACTCCGAACACTCTCACACCAGATGCGTAGGGTTTTTCCCACACCCGGCAATCCTGCCACGCCAGCTGGTGCCATCTGGTCTAACTCAGGGCTGCACGGTCTACCTGGAGGCCGAGGCGGTCCTGCAGGGTAAGGACTGAGTCCCACAAGAATGCCCTGCCCTGATCAGATGCCAGTCACAAGTCCAAGCTGCTACCAGTGTGTCCAACCTATAAACCAGATTCCCACAACTCCCGCTTCAGGTTTGATGAATTTGCTAGACTGGCTCCCAGAATTGAGCATACTCAGTTCAGCATACTCTCTGTTAACCAGTTGATTCAAAAAGATATGACAAAGCACAGATGGAGAGATGTGTCAGGCAAGGTGTGTAGAAAGAGGCCGGAGCTTCCATGTCTGCTTTTCAAGCCGATCTCCCCCCAAGGCACCTCCACATGTTCATCAACCTGGAGGTTTTCAGAGCCCCAAACTATTGAGATTTCTATAGACACTTTATCATGCACACAGGATTGATCATTAACTGTGTCTCTGGCCCGTGTATCGCCTGGAGAATGGGAGGTTCTTTTAACCTAGTAATTGGTATCCACCTGGTCTAGAGGTTTCTGAAGCAGGTAAAGTCAGAGAAACCAGGATCTAAGAGAACAGGACTGGACAAACCCTATACTGAAGATGAACCAGTGCCTTGAATTTCTCATGGTGTCAACCACAGAGGCAGGTACCCCTGAAAACCCCAAGAAGTCCTTAGACAAGTGAAGAGTTTGGGTGAGCCTAGGCACTGTCCCAAGGAAACTTTGCCATCAATGCCAGTACAACCAGCATTAGCTGAGCAGACTCATAAGAGATTTGATCAGCTCTGTGCCACCTGCCTTAGCTTGTTAGGTAAGTACCTTGTTTTATGGGAAGTAAAAGAAAAGGGGGGAGGGAGCAATATCGACATGAATATAAGCACTGAGGACGTGAGAATAAAGAGGGTTTTACTGTCCTGGGGGGGACACGTCCTCCCCTTGCAGCCCAGGAATGTAGCTCCACAGTGTTGTATCATTAAGGTTGAGCTTTCATTGCTGCTCTCTTCTTTGCAGTTCCTCTCCCACCCACCACACTTTCCTCTTCTTTTATTCCATTCTCTTTCCACTTCCCGATGGGTCTTCTAATCCTAAGCAGCCTGTTCAGCCACCTTTATAGCTATCTGTAGTTCTGCATTCCTATAAAAGTTAGGAACTGCCCAGTCAATCAGTCATAGCTAAACCTTACATGGTACTTTCCAATCAATCAAGAGCAGAAATCCTTGATCACCCTGGAAAGAGTATGAAATGTGAGGTATGACCAGGAATGCCCAAGGGGCTGCGAACCGATGCATAAACTTATACCCATGAGGTATGACTGGGAATGCAGGGGGCCAAGGACCAATGTATGACAAGTACCCCAGAAGCTGATGAGCAGATGCCTTGTTGATAAGATTTGAACTATGGCCATAGGTCAGGGGTATGGTTTCAATTACATTTGATTATAAAACAGATTAAGAAATATCTGGTCAGGGATCTCCATGGTCATGCAACAGGTTAAAGCACAGTATTGTAAGCTATCCACAGCCCCTGCAGCATGAGTTCAGTCTCCAGCCAGGGAGCTGACCCACATGGCACAGCAGACCTCTCCAGTCTCGCCTGCTGCTCCCCTCAGCAGCGTATTTTGGTTGATTTGCCAGTTCTACTCCCCAGTCATCTCTGGTAAATCCTGTCACCCTCATACCTCTGGCCTGTACCCCAGTTCTTGCATGCATAAATAAATAAATTTAAAAAAGAAAGAATGATCTAGTCAGCAGACTCATTTCCCCCCGAAGCCCTAGATGACAAAGACACATTCTTTATAGTTTCATCCATCTTTTTCTCCTTGTATCTGATACTGCATGATTATTCTATCAATAAAAAGGCCAGGGTCTTGCTTGTTCAGCAGCATCATGCATTATGCAGTCTGCTTCATGATTTCTGTTTATCAGTGTGGTGTTACCCAGCACAACACTTCCCCTTTGGGTAATAATGCCTTTAGTGTTCTACATATGAACTGGGAAAAACCTGATATGAAGACTAGTTGTTGACAGTTTACACAATAGAATCAATACACCAATGTGCATCCATCAGGGGTGGGGTGCAGAACAGGGGCCAAAAAAGGGAGATAAGGGCACAAGGGACTGTGGTGATGGACTGGAGGTGCTATGGTGGCGGGAGAACCATGGGGACTACACCAGAGGGCAGAAATCAAATACTATACAACAATGAACAATGATGTAAGAAAATAAATACCAAAAAAATAACCCACCTCTGTTAAAGATAGAATTTTCAATATACCACACACACACCTCTGTGAACTGAAAAGGACTGCCTAATATAACTAAAGACAATTGTTTTCTGTCTTTTTTCTTGCTTGCAAGCATTGAAAGGGCCACACGTTTATTTACCATTTATCGAACGACTGCAGTACATATGGGACCATGCAGGACTCTTTAAAAAAAGATCACAGGCCTCTCAGTGGTGCACGGGTTAAAGTCTGAGCAATATCAAGCTATCAGCAGCCGCTGCAGCACAAGTTAGATTCCTGGCCAGGGAGGTGACCCACATGGTGCAACAGACCTCTGCTGACCTGCGCACTGCTCCCCTCAGCAGTGTGCTTCGTCATTCGGCCTGTTCTGCTCCCCAGGCTGTCTCTGATGAATCCTCTCCCATGTACCCCCACACCCCTGGCCTACACTCCAATTCTTATAAGCAGAAATAAATAAAATAAATCTTTAAGAAAAAAAATAAGATCTTGTGAGACGTCTCTTCAGATATTTCATTTGGTTCAAAAGATAAGGCTAATACACTTTTAAAAAGGCAATAGTCCAAAAATAGACTATATCCAAGAAACACATACCAATTTATATTTGTAGCTAATGGAGATTTGGATCATTTTAAAAACTGCATTCAGATTCAAGTTGTTGAAGATGTCCTGGGAAAGCTTTGTGACAGCTATTACAGGAATGTTCTTTCTTTTGTTGTCAGCAATCTGCCCTCCACTCTTCTGTCTACGTGCAACAGCTGTTGAGAGCATGCTGTTACTGGCACTGCAGAGATCAGTTCCTGAGACTCCTGGCTTTTATATAACTGTAAGTGAAAGGTGGCAGAGAACAGTGGTTCAAGTCTCATAATCTGGGATCAGAGCATCAGGGCCCCAGGTCAAACTCGACTGAGCACAGAACCAGGAAAGATCCTCATAGAGAAAACAGATTTCCAAGCCCCACTCCTGAAATCTCTGGCTCTTTTGACCTGAAACACAGCAAAGTATCTTTTTTGTTTGTTTGTTTCACAAAACTCCAGATATTTCTGATAAAAAGGTTAGAGGCCCTCCCTTGTGGCGCAGCAGGTTAAAGCACTGCACTAAGAAGTTTAAGTCACTTCCGCCATGAGTTCGATCCCTGCCTGCCCCAGAGGTGACCACATGGTGTGGCAGACCTCTCCTGACCCGCCCGCTGCTCCCCTCAGCAGTGTACTTCATCGATCTGCCTTTTCTGCTGCTTCCCGCTCTGTCCCTGGTGAATTCTCTCACCCTCCTCATCTCTGGCCTGTACCCCAGTTCTGTATGAATAAATAAAATAAATCTTAAAAAAAAAAAAAAAGGTTTAGAAAGCACTGGCCTGACTCCGGAATTAAAATTAAAAAGGAGATTGAGTTTTGCTACTCTTTTCACTATTGATTGTCGGCATCCTCACTGGATTTAGATTTAGGGTCAATATCCTGAGAGAAGGATCAGGATTCAAACTCAGCTATTGGTATTGGTCACTCCTTCACTCATTCCTTGTCTTTCAGCTTCCTGTTATCTTTTCCTGTGTTCACTAAACTATCCTTCATTAATCAGAGATGCCATGAAACTATTCCACCGAAGAGACTGAAGTTAGCAGAAAATAATTAAAATACAGACACAGAGAGCAAGGGAAAAAAAAATAACAAAGCTGACACGCTTTTCATACCTACCACAAACTCATCAGTGGTTATTGTGTAAATGCAAGGAAATTATTTGAAATAAATCTCAAAAGAAATGAATCAACAATCAGGATGAAAAAATGCACAAAATGAAGAATGATGTAAAATAAATAAACATTTTTAATAAATACTAAATTATTAAAAAAAAAAGAAATGAATCAAAAATGCTTCAATTACCAAGAAGACTATTTGAAAGACCATCATTGAATCACCCCCTAAGAGCATATTTTCCTACGTGCTTTTGCTAATATATAATATGTCTGGAGGTCAAGGCTGGCTGATAGCTGTTCCAGATGGGCAAGCTTGGAAACTCCTGCCACAGGGGGAGAAAGCAGTTATGGCTCTTCTTCTCCACCTCCTGCAGAGGCTGTGCTGCCTCCTGGTTTCTGTTCAGCTCCTCACGGGCTCCCTGCCTCTGTGTCCTCTAGGGCACAATAGTAAGTGGCTGCATCTGTCAGCTGCACCTGGGTGATGAGCAGGGATAAGGATTTGGCCTTGACAGTCATGTTGTAGCGGTCCTGCTGAACAGACTTCGTGCCCTTAATAAGGAGTGTTGGAGCCGATTCTGGGAGGTGAATGTACCAGAAGAAGTTGTAAACATTGAGTATAGAGTGACTACAGGAGATTTCCGCCACAGCTCCCTCTGAAGACTTGACAGTGGAAGGCTGAGTTACTTGGTCCTTGCTCTCTGTAGCTGCAGGTAGTAAAGATTGAGACATAAATAAATGACTGAATGAATGAACCACCAACAAATGAAAGTTGTGCGATTTTTTTTTACACTCTTAAAAGATTTTAATAAAATAACATCAAAGCACTGATAGAATGCTTGGAAAATCTTTAATAGACAAAATGATTATCAATGTTATTATTAATATACTTATGATACAAGCTGCTTATCTCATTAATATAAGGAAAGTACATATACAATTTATTTTAGATCATGTTATTTAAAGAACAAACCCACCAGTTTTATGAACTCCCTCTCTTTTCCATATACATTTGTTTAAATATTTAGAATTCGTTATTATATAGGTGCATTTGGTTTTAAAAATCCAACTATATGAAATGTGAAACACTGACTCAAAGTCAGAAGTTCATGTCCTTCCTTTATTTTTATTTCAATACACTATCAGAACTATAAAATGCTGTTCTCAGGTTGTGCATTTTAAGTTGCTATTTAGCTTGCTGACCTATCTCTTAGGACAGTGAGTATCAGTAAATCTGGCCTTTTTATTTTTTCAAAAAAATTAGCCCAAATTTTGAAACAATGGTATATGCTTTGGAAAGACTATTGGTGAAGGAGTCAACTCACCCTTCCAAAGAAAGCTGAGAAGGAGCCCCAGCCACACTGCTTCCAGAGTGTTCTGCACAGCCATGCCCATGCACACCAGTCTCAGGTCTCCGTCGCAAGTGTGTGCCTCCTGGGGAAGCTGATTTAAAACCACCTGTTTTGCATTTTCTTCTCTATGTCAGTGACATCACAACGAGAATCTACCAACTTCAGAGGGTGACTACAGCTGGGAGACGGCTTAGTAGTGACTTCAACAGTGTTTGTTCCGAGAAGAGTGTCTTAAAAGGGAATGTAGCCTTTGAAAGGTCACCAGAGCTGTGCGAATTTCTCTCTCAAGACACTTGCTTCCTTCTCTAAGGATTTCAAAAGTGATCATATAATTGGTAGGAAGCTTGTGTCAGCCTTCAAATTACAGTGATTTATCCACACAAAAGATATGCTGAATTTATCAGATGTGATATAATCACATGCTAGCATACTAAAAAGTATGATCATGAAATTCCCAGTAACTAATAAAATGAGAGCTGGGCTTGTTTCAGGAGCAAAAATTATACTGTCAACATGACCATCAAAAATTGACTCTATAGACCAGGCTGATGTCTAGAACAGGAACAGAAAGAAAATCTCAGTTATACTTTGTAACCAAAAGTCAAGTGGGTCAAGTTGGACCCCAAGTTTGCATTTGGAGATGAACTCTTTGTAGGTCACCTGCTATCACTGTATCATCTGAGACAGTCTCCCCTGTCTTTAAGTAGGATGTATTGGTTCTCTCTATGGCTTTCTATTGTTTTATATAAATTTGTGGTATAATTTTATTTGAAAAAGAAGAGTGAACAGGTTTGTGGGCAAAGTTCATAGACTAGTTGTTGTTTTTTGTTTTTTCTTTTAAGATTGATTTATTTATGCATACAAGACCTGGGATGCAGGCCAGAGATGCTGGGGGTGAGAGGATCCACTAGAAACAGAGCAGGCAGCAGAACAGGCAGAGCGACTGAAGCTCATTGCTGAGGGGAGCATGGGTCAAGACAGGGTAGGTCTGCTGTGCCATGCGGGTCACCTCCCTGACTGGGGATCAAACTCATGCTGAGATGGATGAGCGCTCCATAGTCCTGTGTTGTAACCCTTTGTGCCACCAGGGAGGGCCCTCATGTACTAGTTTTTGTGTGTACCACCGCCACCTACTGGACTACCTAAGAACTGCCAGAAACCTGCATAGCATCTAAAACAGTCTTCATATCTTTTGCTTTTGCCCAAATGTCTCATTTTTATACAGTTTATACAGATATGAGGCTATCTAGAGGAAACAACTGCCACCTGGAAAAGGTTTCTGGTTATCAAAAGATGTTCTTTATTTGTGTGAGTGGGTATTAGAACAGATGCTTCCATGGAGTAAAATATTTCTCGCCCCATTCTAAAATGGTTATTTGAGTTGTCTACTCTCCCTCATTTTTCACACCCTCCCACATAAGGAGAAATTACTACTTCCCTAATTTTCTCTCTCACTTTACTGGGAGATTCTTCAATAATTGTTTGGGCTCCATAAGGATCTTTTATTGACAATTATGACCCACCCAAAATCTTCCAAATACAGAATTCCAAAATGTTTATAAAATTGAAAGGGAAAAAAAAAAATCAAAGACAAATGGGCAGATTCATTTAGTGGAAGAATTAACTTAGCTATTGAGCTCCGAAATTTCTGACAACTGAAACATAAAAGGAAGCACAAAGAGAATACAACTATACAAATAAATAGTTGATTAAGTTTTGAAGCAATACTTTTCTTAAGCCAAGTGGTATACAACTGTATGTAATTTTAAACTCTTTTCTATTACTGGTTGTGTACTTCTGGTGAAAAGTTTCTAACTACATCATGATATTTTACCATGTGCTTCCTCCACATTTAATTACACAATCCTGTAGTGAAGAATTCATAGTCTACCTCTAACTCCTGTTAACACAGAAATGGGCATATTTCCCTATGTTCTCTATGGAAAAATTTCTTTGGAGTAAGTATCCAGCAAGGCTTGTCCCGTCATAGTAAGTCCCGTCCCGTTAATCTCACTAATTAATCATTCAAAGTAACAATAGTCTTTTACACTTTTACCAGCAATGAAAAAGCATTCCAAGCTTTCCAAATTCATTACACTTGGTATAAAAATTATTAAACTGCCTAAATTTTACCAGTAAGCTAAATATGGAATCTCATTTTAATTTCTCTTACTCTGATTGTTAATAAAGTTGAACATTTGCATTTTCCTTTTTAATATTACCTATCCAAATGATTTGCCCATTTTTAAATTAGGTCTCCAGTTTTTACTTAGTAAATTGCAGGAGTATCTCATATATAGATTTCTAGATATATTCAATATCACAAATACCTTCTAGTGTAACCCTAACACCTTTGTGTATAATGTCCTTTTATAAATGGAAATTCTTAATTCTAACAGAGTCAAAATTATCACTTTTTTGACCTTATGATTTATGTTTTGGGGATCTTATCTTACAGGTCATTCCCTACTTTAAAGCTACAACTGTATCTTCCCACATTGGAGTTTATTATCTTTAGGGATTATTCTTTTACAATTAACTTTAGTTCATCAGAAATTTTCATATGTCTGCATATATACGGTATAAGAAGTGATGCAACTATATTTTTCTCTATAGAGTAAAAGACAGTCTTACCAACACTGTCTATTAAGTACTGTAACCCACTTTTCCTCATATATTTGTAGTAACGTGTTTTATATCCTTAGAGCTTATATAACTATGTATATATAGTTACCTATTAACTTGATTGTCTACTTTGTTTCATTGACCTTATTGTTTCTTTCTGCAACACAACCATGCTGCCTTTATTTTCTTACACTAAAATTCACTCAAGCAGCAATGAGGAAACTAATACTAACTATCCAAAGCTCTTTCACTACTACCCGCTAGCATTGGTCCCCACAATACATACATCAGTGTATCTGCTCTTGGAGGACTATGATGAACAGAAGTAGTAATAGTGGTTATCCCCCTCTTGAGTATGATCAGAGAGAGAATCCACCTAGCAGGTCTACTATTAGCTACTATTAGAAAAGCCAACACTGTTTTAGAGCCCTCCAGAAACATTCTCAGAAAACTGTCATTTGTGACCTGATAACTCATTGGCAGAGCTTACATTTACTTGCCCTGATTCAGAGCCTGCTCATTGCAAACAACCCTCTCCTCTGGGGCATTTGCTATAAGTAACCACCAGTTATTTAACATGCCATTGACTGAGGACGTAATAATAGTAAGGCAAACAAGAAGCTGACAAAAGCAGTTAAAGTGAAACTAAGCAATGAGGTGTCCACAGAGGACCCTGAAACACCCAAACATATTCTTGTGAATCTACGTACAAGCATAGGGAAATGTAAAACTATATGCCAAGGGCCATTTGAAGATCTTAGAGGACACTGATCTTTCACATTGGGCTGATCTTGAAGATCTGTGAAAGCAAGAAGTAAAAGGCTAAGGCAGAGCTGTAAATGCCCTCTTGACATGAGTTCACTACCCGCCCCGGAGTGTCAAAGCAGTGTCAAAGCAGTTCTCAAACATGCACAAAAAACTCATTATCAAAGGGTAGGATGCCTACTGGTTCAAGCACTTAAGGAAATCTCACAAAAATCTGACAGTTAGTTGTGATTCACATAAAAGTATTATATTAACTCTAGGACCACAAAGGAAATGTATGGCCTCTTTACAGAAAAAAACCAATTTTCTTTCCATAAGACACATTATATTAGGCAAACCAAAATTTGACCTATCCTTACCATCCAAAATCTGCCATTCTTCCTGACTTCCAAGCTCTATAATTATTTCTATCACTCACCTAAAATGAAATTTTTTCAATATTCATTTATTTATGCATACAGAACTGGGGTACAGTCCAGAGGAGCAAGGGCGGTGAGAAGATTCACCAGAGACTGTGCGGGGAACAGAATAGGCAGATTGATGAAGCAACTGCTGAGCAGCGGGCAGGTCAGGAGAGATCTGCTGTGTCATGTGGGTCAGCTCCGGGGCGGGTAGTGAACTCATGTTGCAGTAACTGTAGATAGCTTCATACTGCTGTGCTTTAACCCCTTGCACCACCAAGGAGGCCCCCTAGACTTAAAATTGTAAGCTAGCTTACTCACTCCTCCAGTCTATGCTACACAGTGGAGTAAAACTGATATGCCCTGAGTCAGAGAAAGTGGCACAATAAGGGAGTTGGTGATGCTTGTTGACTGAATAGAGGCCAGTGGGCTGGGCAGCATGTATGCTGTGGGAGCGCAAGTACAGCCTCTTGGCCTGCCCAGGGTTCCCCAAAAGCAAGGACTTTTTCCTTTTGTTCCACTAATCTATGCTAACACAACGTGTGTGAATTCCGCAAAGATCTTCTAATCATCTGCCATTTCGTGGTAGCATTCCTGAAATCAAAACAATTCTCAGAGTTCCCTTTTCATTTTTGTCTCAGAATTCACTCTTCAGTGCTAAGCAGTGTTCTCCTGAGTGTGACTCAATTGTGATTCTCGCCTCCTGGATATGTTCTGTATGAATAGCTTGGTTCATTGGCCACATGAACTCATTTGCATAAGTTAATCACCATGTAGCCACAACAGTTTTAATAAGCTCCACTGGGGAACATGACTGTCTTTGTTAACCACTAGTTTTACTATAGAGAAGCATCCGGAGACCAGAGGGTAATCAGTGATGACAAGAGTTATAATGAATCGCTAGAGGCCTTCTCTGTGTCTCATCCGTGATGGTGGCATGGGCCAGAGGAACACAGGAGATTAATTAAAAAGTTGAATTTTCCTCTGGGTCATCTTAATAGGAGGGCCTTATAGACCTGTAATTTGTCAAAAGTAACCAAACTCTGGGGTTCTTCCTTCCCTGAACTTTGTGCATGTTCAGACTACAAACACCTAACCTCTTGAGTATCTCTGGGCCCAGCAGAGCAGAACAAATTAATACCCTATAATCCTATTCCTTTGTGCACATCTGCCTTATCATTAAGAGAAAACACAATGTGCAAAGAGGATTTTTAATCTAGATTATACTTAACTACTTCACCCAGGC